TCGTGGACGGCAAAAAAAAACACAGACATTATACAATTTAAAATAAAAGGGATAGGGTCAGGGTAAGATATTGAGTAAGAAAGTGTTTTTATGAACCACACAGCTTCTGGTATTCCAAGTCCCGACCGGACAAAAAGACGTGGTGCAGGCACAAAGCATACTACCAATAGAAATACATTGCTTTTAAAATCGTTCTGTCTGACACGAAAAAAATGCGAAAATGGTGTTGGTGATCGACTATAACACGAAATGCTGTGAGACTGGGTTGTAGATTCAGTCAAATGGACTCCAGGATACTCTGCAACTTCTACAGGTGCACCATAGAGAGTATCCTGACTGGCTGCATCACGGCCTGGTACGGCAGCTGCACCGCCCTCAACCGTAAGGCTTTACAGAGGGTGGTGAAAACTGCACAGAACATCACCAGGACGGAGCTGCCATCCATGGAGGACCTATAATCCCAGCGGCTCAGGAAGAAATCCCTCAGGATTATAAAATACCCCCATCACCCCAGCCACAAACTGTTCAGTCTGCTGCCGTCTGGCAGGCGCTACCGCAGCATCCGGACAAAAAAACACCAGATTTAGAGACAGTTTCATCCCGCAGGCAATAAGACTGTTAAACACCTGAACTGTTGAAACAACATCCATAACATTCTGCTAATTAGTAATTATTTATCTAATTTATCATTCCAATAGCTTGCATATATACTCTTATTTCACTATTTCTGTATTATTGTGTTGCACTGCTGGAGAAGCCTGTGACCTAAGATTTTCATCGACATAACTACTCTGTAGCTATGTTCGTATGACAAATAAAGAACCTTGAACCTTGAGGTTTAGCTTAACATGTAGCTTCATGCTAGATTCAGTCAAATTCAACACAAGTTTACCTAAATCACTCCTAACCAGTTTTCTATAAGCAACCCAACACAGGTGTGTCAGACAGTTTCCTAGCATGCACTGGGGCAATTAAATGATATCATAATTGTATCTGTGTAGCTACACTGTCCCTAGTAATATTGAGATCTGCATTGAGTTTGTATTAACATTCTATAATTATTGAGATGCTCACCCTCAACAGTGAGTTGATGACTCTATGCAACAGTGATGATTAATTTAGTTCCCCAACTGCGGCAATGGCAATAGACATAATTTTGTTCTATGATTTATACAGTGCCAAACTCCTTGCAGGCACTGCATGCATTAACAACTATGTTGTGTTTGTCAGATAATCAGTGACTGTGTTTCTGATGCCAATAATGAACTGAGGAAAAAGTAACAGCTTTAATTGTAATTACACAATTATATAAGTTTCACACTTGGTTATAGTGTTGCCTTTAAAAGAACATACATGATAAAAGATTAGACATTTTAGAAATTAACAATAAATGATTTAAGCAGTAGAAATCTGTCTGTATACTGAACTTTATAAACGTAAACCTCAGATAAACCATGTCTACAGATACAGTTACTTTGACAGTGTATGTGTTTTCTACAGGACACAGCTACCAGGTTCTGACTAAACCACAAGTGCAGTTTACACATCTTCTAAGGACACGGCAACCATATTTTATGATTGTGTCCTAACCCTAACCCAAATGAAACCTTTAACCACAGCTATAGGCTAATGACTGAGAAACAGCCCCAGCATGTTCTGGATTACTCGATTATTGTCCGGCAATTTTTCATTCCTAAACAAGCATCCCTATTACTCTATAATACCTTTACTTTGGAATTATAGGGACAATCAACACTTTTGGCACTTCTTTTTCTCAAAACGTTAGACAGTGTGTGTGGATTGTTCTCATTAACTGGGACAATGCCATGGAAAGAGATGATTCTGTTGAATTTTTAAAATGACAACAATTGGGTTCTCCCCGCGTTGTGTTGGGTGTGTAAGCAAAAATCTCAGCGGCGGCTATCTTAAAACCTAAATAAGTTCCACCAAAACTGTCCGTACCACCGGAAACCTGGTTGAGTTTGGCTGAACTGACCATTTAAGCATGTTCCAAACCAAAGTAACCAATCAGAAAATGTTGAAATGTGAAAGTCCTGAGTGTGTTTAAAATGTCTGGTATATGTATGATTTCTCCATGAAAGGAGACAGTGAAAGAAAGGCTATTTTATTGTGCTCATTTTGATTTTTTGACAAGAACAGAAAGAAAGAAAGCCTGTGAGAGATCCTATGGCAAAGCGTTCTCTCTCTCACTCGCTCCTGAGTCATTCACTAGAAGTATGTAACACAAGCCTCCACGGGGGATGTCCTTGCATCATGCTCCATTGTCATTTCTGTCTGTTGTCAGTAGGACCTCTATTTATTTCCACTTTCTAGGCATTGTTGTTTAAAAACACAGTTTCTCTTCATCACGGTTCAAAGAAAAGCATCGCTGATCAGGGTCAGGTTGGACCGTCGCCTCGACTGTCAGCTTGTTGTCGTTGTTGTCTGCTACCCTCTGACACATGATCAAATCAGGCCATTATTGTTCATAAACAGAACAGAAAAAAAACAAAAAACAGTACTTTAATACATCGCTACATTGATATTACTGTTACTCAAAGAATGCTCAAGTGAGGCTTAAGAATCAAGCAATTATAAAATTGCAGACATGAAAGTATAAGTTAAGAAACCAGGACATTTTTTTTCGATTTTCAAAGCAATGCTTTCAAAGATTAAAGAAAATCGAATGTTTTAAGGCTGTTGTTAAGTTAAAGCCACAATCTGGGACGCGTCGTAATGCGAAAACAAACACAGCTCATCCGTCTCCTCTAGGATGGGAGCTGGAGTGTTTGCCTCAGAGGAACCGTGTCCATGTACTGTAGCTGCTGCAGTATGGGAGAGAAAACTGTTTTTTTTTACCACACTAATGAATGTGCTTTTGCAGTGCTACAAACAGCTGTGGTTATTTCACTTTCCCACGATTATGGCTTTAACTGGGCTTAATGACTTGAGCATTCTGAACTCATTATAGCAGAGAAAAGAGATTTTATACAGTGTTTCCATTCACCCACAAACTTTTCATTGTTTGCCAGCTCTGTTGTTTCCATTGTGTAGTTTCCAGTGTTTCAAAGTTGGAGTCAATTCTGTTTCAATCCAGAAAGCGTTGTGGATGAGATTCAGTCAGTATAAACATTTGTAATTACAAATTGTTTGTCAATACTTTGAATCTTACAAGCTTGTTATATTCAAAATCCACTGAATTGAAATGTTGTTGACTCCGTCCCTGGTTTTACAGTCCTCTAAAATGAGTTTCTGAATCACAGTTCTGTATAGAAAAAACATCAGTATTTTTGTTATCACATTTTTCTCGTCTTTTCAGCCTCCAGTATTTAGATCCTGCAGATATTGCAGCTATACATGTAGTCTCATATCAACACGCTAGTGATGCTTATCACATATAACTACAACACCTCTAATATCAGGAACTTTTTCCCATTGAAAACCTTTGATAAGGCAAAACCCCATTGCGATTACCTCAATAGTCTGCATTGGTTATTTTGGGCTTCTTTTAGACATTTGGTCCAATTGGTGGCAGAAACTAGAAAGTCGTCCATGATAATCTGCCATATTTAGACGTTTGGAAAGCCAAATGTTCCCTATTTATGTCCAATTCTGAAATACAAGTGGCCATCTGAAGAAAGTTGTCTAACAGACAGATGAGGACACTGTTTGAAATACAGCTCTTACGTTAGAAACAGAAAACCCAGCTGCTAAACAGTATTAATTTCTCTAAGAATACATTCATCTGTGTATGGTTGTGGTTGTGTATGCATGTGCTAGAGTTGTCACTGTAAGGGCAATGGTGGGTAAATAGCTGGGGCCGGGTCAGGGGCCGTAAGGGTCAATTTACTACCACAGTACTTTGGTCTTAGATGATTGGAGGACAAGGGGAGCAGTGAGCCAATGGATCGCTTTGTGCAAATTGTTATTGTTCTCGCAAACTGATGTGTGTCGATGAGACGAAGAAGAGGTCTGTAAAGAGTAGTATTCAAAATCATTTCAAATACTTCTTTGTGATTTACCAAGTTGGCACAATGGCACCACAGTGGAACCAGAGGAATCAACAAATAAAAGTAAAAAACGTGGGAGAGTGGGAGGAGGGGGAAAATAAATGGTTGATAAAACACAGTGGAGCTACAGTGTAACGGGAAGGAAGCTGAGAGTTTTAGGTCTTTTCCTTAAGAGTCGTTTTCTGATTTTGAACAGTGCAGATATGTTCCCCCTGTGGGAATTAAAGACATTCATTTGAAGATTAGAATTTTTTTGTGTTCAATTTCAAAATCAAAAACGTACCATTGTAAGGGAGCAGGTAGGTAACTAACTTGGGATTCAGATTTCTGAAAAGTCTCAAAGATTTCAAAACCATGTTGTACAAACAAAACAGTCACCTCTGTTGCAAATATAGATCTTCTCTCTCTCATCTGTACAGCGTTCCCTCTTCAGGAGGGTGAGGAGCGGGGGGTAGCGGGGGGTTCACCAAGAGAAAAAGACGGGCTTGTGTTTGGCTCAGCAGAGAGCACATTCCTCTTGGTAGAAAAAGGAGTCAAATGTCTCGTCCATCAAACTGTTTGTCTCTGTTGGTGCACTTCTCAGCGGAGAGGTTCAAAACAGTCAAAACACAGCCACACGACAGAGCCATGCCATATTCAAATAATATAATCATTAATGATGAGGAGCATAGGAATAACAAGAAGACCAGTAATGTAATAAGAATAATTAATAGTAATAACATATCATTCTAGGTTTTTTAAATTCTGTATATAAAAACAGTGGCGAGGAGAAGTTGGTACACAGTAGGGCTCTACTATCCCCCTTTGTTTGATTTGGCACATTATACTCTCTCTCTCTCTGGTGAGAGCTACCTACTCATTCTCAGCACAGTCGAATATTACTGTTGCCTGGCGACCCATCCAGAAATTGTCATTTAGATGTTTTAAAATCCCTCAAATCACAGCAACTCTTTCAAAATGTATTTTTTCGAAGCAGCATCGCAGGGCGCAATGCCAGAAACAACCTCCCCGGGTAAAAGCAAAATCTTCAATCAATCCACGGCGGTAATAAGAATTGGTGAGGTTAATCTGCCGTGGTCTGGTTTTAATCAATGTCGGTCTCAAGGCAGATTAAAAGCGTAGCCGTGTTCAGGATGGGTTGCCCGGCAGCATTTAAGGTTTCTGCTCTTATGTTGATCATTTTTTTCTTCATTCAAAACTTAGTACAAATAGCTACGTAAGTCTGAGCTATAATGTGTGTTACATTACAAAAAGTAACCCAGTCTCTCTATAACTTATGATTTTCAATATAATATATTAGTTTGGTCCTCCTTCATGTTCCTCAGAAGCAAAGGCTTGGTTTGTGTAAAGTGTGTGTGTATATAAGTGTACGTCTAGATCCTGTAAGCTGTGTGTGTGTGTGTGTGTGTGTGTGTGTGTGTGTGGTAATGATTGCGCTCTCTTTGTTTCCCGCTCTCAGCACAAGAAGCTCAGTGTGGAGGGGGGGGGGACCAGTAAGGACTTCAGGAAGGGGCAGAAGCAGGGGGACCTGGAGATCTGGGACCCTGTGGACCAGGTATGTGGGGGGGTCGAATGAAGAAGGTAGCTGAGACTCCTTTAGGACATGGGGATGATCTGTTTGAATACAGTATACATAATATCAATTCAAAAAAAGTGGAAAGTGCTTATATTGATGATCATAATTAAAGTGATCACTATTGCAAAAATCTAAAGCAGCGATATTGTCACAGTCACATGACCAGCACTACACATTTGCAGCAGGATCTTTTTTTTCTTTTCTAACTTTATTTATGGATTTTAAATATAACACAAGGTGCACAAATACATTGCACCAAGAGTACAATTACAAGCTTCCCATCTGAGCAGCTTGTTGGATGTTAAGCATGTGGTCGTCCCTTCCTCAGCGCTGGAACAGGCACTACTGTGTGATCTCTGATGACAAGCTGTACTACGCAGAGGAGACCGAGGAGGAGGACGAAGACCCCAGGAAGGTGAAACACATGGCTGCTGTTTACCAGCTTATTGTAAATGCAGTTTTTACATTTAGAATGAACTTTAAGGGCTTTCATATAATATACCACAGGTCCACAAGTGTCAATCATAAAGATTTTCGAACATTTAGTAGAGCTAATGAGTTGAGATTTGATGAGTGGGTGAGTAATGTATCCAGAAACGCAAGCAGGGCTAAAATGCATCGCAGAAAAGAGTGCAAGCCAGACCTGAAAAATAATAAAAAGATTAACTCAAATAGAATGAGCTTTGTTAATGTGCTATCAGTGGCGGACTGGCCATCGGGACGTTCGGGATGATGGGCCGGTACCGAAGTGGGCCGGTCGGACGATGTGGGCCGGTCAGATAAGTCACTAGCCACTACCGCCCCCCCGTTGACAATTTACTAGTGGTACCGAAGTGGGCCGGTCGAGATGCCCGGGCTGATTTTTAGTCCCAGCCCGCCCCTGTGCGCTATTCACCGAGCCCAGAGGTATTATATACTGACCATTAAGCCTATCAAAGGCTAAGCAGCACATGTGTTAAATAAATATGAATTGCAAGCACATTGTAACTTTCTGCACAGCATTGAATTATTGGAGTAATGAGCGTGTGTAGATTCAAGGGGGGGGTTATTATAGTTAATTATGATGGTCGAATGTACAGAACGAGATATTCCTGTCTGCTTAGGTGTGAAAGCTTTGCACATGAAAAACGATCTCCATATTTTTGTTCAGTGGAAAATAAGGCTGATGATCATTTACCTACAAAGAACATGAGTTAACAGTTACAGAGAGGACATGTGAAACGTGAAGTGTTGTCTCAGTACCAGGACCTGCACACCTCAGAACCGTGGTTCCATGGTCGCATGAAGGAGGGCCGGCAGATGGGCGAGCGGCTGATCCTGGACTACTGCACGGAGAACGGAGGAACAGACGGAACCTTCCTTGTGCGACAGAGCGATACCTACGTCACAGACTTCACCCTCTCCTTCTGGTACTGCATGCCGTACACCTTCTTCATCTCATGGCCAACTGAAACCTTTTTGTCCCATACGTTGTCCCATTGCAGGGGTCACCTTATCCAAAGGTCCAATTTAGAAATGCCACATTTCAGAATTATTATTTTTTTCAGATTTGTATGAGAGGGGGTTGTAGGTAAGGAAGAAGATTAGGGCCACATGAGGAAAAATGTTTTGGATGTGAGCAAAAGTCTAAAAAAATATTCTGTATGTTTGAAGTACATAGTCAGTGTAGCAACCTACACTAAATGCAGTGGCGAACCGTGTCTATCACAACTGGACCTTCTCTAGACCTTCCCCCCCCCCCCCCCCCATCCGCGGCATTATAATGTCCGTCTTTTCACTGAATTGTCGACTTGAAAAAGGTACTCACAACAATTCTGCAACAGCTTCATCTTCACCTGTTGCACTTGTCATTTCAACGTTAAAAACAATAAAACGCAATGAATTGCCTCTCGTGCATTCATCTAGGATCCTCTGTCTCGAGCAGCTTAACTAGGGGCCTTTAGAGTAACCCTGGAAACCGAGCGAAACTCTGAAAAGAATACGCCCATTGTACAAATTCAATATATGATGGTTGATCAAACTGTCAGTCCAACATGTACGCCCTCTCATCCAGTGCCAACGGCAAGGGCATTCGGGAGGATGCTAGAAATACCTTGGGCTGTAAGGATATTCTACGACAGAGACCCAGAAACAGATCTGGATTGCCTTTATTTTCTACACAAAACCACTGAAATGCGTTAGTGCATGCGCCGAGCAAGGACGAAACAAATCAACGTAACACTGTAATTATTTACAGATCACAAACACGGCATACCATTTCTCATTTCATTCATTTTAATGTACATTTATGTTATATATAATTAAATCGATTTTTTTTTTGTTTTATCTGAGGTCCAGGGTATTCTCTGAATACCTTGGGAGGCCCTGACGGTTCGCCACTGACTAAATGATGGTATCCTCCTCTATATCTTAATTAAGAGTACCTGTGTGCATGTGTTCCAGGCCGCATGTGTGGGCGGCGTCCAGCCACTGCTCGTATCGCTCGGTTCAGAAGGGGCCCCGCGCTCCAGCGTACTTCTTCCTGACGCCGCAACC